ACTATTACTTGATGGCGCTGCTACATCAGCTAACGGTATGTACGAATTACTGATGAACGGGTTCGGGTTTGAAAAACATTTGCCGAAAAATCCGAAGAATCTTTTGGCTAGACAAATTTTTGTATTTCAATTTTCAATTTCAAATAAAACAGACAATATTCCACCAGTATAAAACAAAACAACGTCTTTCTCACAGGTTGCTGAGAAATATGTATTGGATGAAATATATTTACCAATACAATTATTTAATTTATTTAATTCTAATTGAGATATATGTTGACCACGATATACAGTTTGAAATGATTTAATTATTTGTTCATTATAATGTTATTCAAGTTGTTTTTGAAAATCAATTATAAAAAATCGAACTTTAAAAATGGCATCAATATCACGAGTTCATAAAGCTTTATTTAATTGACGATAAGTAAATAAATCACGTGTATACCATTGAATGGCATTTGAAGGTGAGTATTCATTTTCAAATTCACTTATTGACTTATTGACTTTTGTTGTTCAATATTATTAATTGAATATTGTTGACGACAATATTCAACTAAATCATTCGTAGTGCTTTTATTATATACAGTTAAATCAAATAAACTTTCAATTAATAAATAATACCACATAAAAGATTTATTTTTTGTTTGAACTGTTGATTCTTCTGCGTTTGGGAGATTGAATACACTAGTACAAATTAAATCTTCTGTACATGTATCAATGTCTTCAATAATTAATTGAAAAAGTTTCTCTTTATTATTCAAAATATGACGAATTGATCTTTGTGACTCTGTCACTGCTGGAGTATTATTACTTTGTTCGTTTATTAAAACATATATCAATATAATTTTTGGGAAATCATCCCAAAATAATAAAATATTTGATACTAAAACATCATCAATTATTAAAAATACATTAGATATTTATATTTCACTAATAAAATCAATAATATTATCATTAGAATAAAATATTCTTATATTTATTCTATTTAATGATTCAAATTCTTTTTCATCTACATTTGTTAACCAAAGTATATAGATATCATTATCATTTTGATCAATTAATTCTAATTTTGTTGATTGTAAACATAATTGTGTAAGATTATTGTCTATAGTTATTGGTTTAGTTGAAAATCGCGTATCTAATGATAAAGATGATTTCTAATGTTCCTTCTTAAGTTTTTCTTCAATTTTGTCCATGTATTTATTTGAATAAGTCGTTGTTTCTATCTATATGATTTGTACGTGTATGCAGCCAAATAAGTATCATCGTCTATGTACATCATAAGAAGAGAGCAAATGTGCGACAGACCGCGATGGTGAATTGCGATAATCAGAAAACAAACACCAATTAAACGATAAGAATGGCTCACAGTCATTTAAATATATATTTTTATCGGATTATTTCTTTTTTGCCAAAGAGTAAAACACATACGGAGTCCTCTTCATTTTAACGGGTGGCGCAGAATAAATTAGACTGTCAGTGTTTTTGAAATTCCTTCTCTTCCTCAAAGTCGATCGAGATCATTCTTATATCAAAAGATTCGCCTTTCAATTCTCTACGAAATGGTATATAA